CACTAAGAAAATTATTGCATCTGAAAATATACAAATAAAATTGTCAGAGAAAAGTTCCTAAAACAATCCTATAATATTCCCAAGTTTTTGAAGGAACATAGTTTTAAAAAAGACATTTGAAAATATTTTCCGTGTGACTGACTCAATTGGTCAAGTATCATACAAACTGTTTACTAGGTTACTAATTGACTTTTAGCAGTGTTAAAGGGAATATGGAGTGGAAAAGCATTATGTTACTTTTTAAATTATTTTCTAATCTTTATTAAAAATAACTGAAAAGTTATCATAGGGAAGATACACCTAACACATAGGAGAAAGACAAAAATTTGTATATATCTTCACAGACAGTTTTAGCACTTTTTGAATAACAAAGATTAGTAAAAAAATTTTTGGGTAAGAATATAAAATAACTCAATAGTAATCTTTAATTTCCTTTTTAAGAGGAAAGCAGTTTTCTCATATATAAATAGTCAATGATGTTGAATATTTAAATAAGGAGTGTGCACTGAGATAATTTCAGTATCAATGAAGGGTATGGAATGTGAATTCAAAATTTGAGTTAAATATAGTCTAGAACTGGAGGATAAATAGATAGTTTGCTGGTGATTGGAAAATCTAGATGAATGTTTGAATCTTGCAAATAATATCACAACTTTTGCTGGTGCTGTTGCTTCAGCTCCTGTTTCATTTAATGAGAATCAGACATCACCAGAAGCAATGCAGACGAGAGCAGCTGAAAGGCATTCTTTAGGATGCAAGGCTTGACATTTCTGATCCAAGGGTGAAGGGGGAAAAGGAAATTTAGTGTTATTTTGGATGAATCCGAAGTATAAAGGAGTGCATGTTTTAAGGAGGAAGAGAACATAAATATCTGGGAAACTTTATTAGCCAGCAGAAAAGTAGAAAAGAACTTGTGAGGACCAAGGGGAGTCTGGAGAGTGTATCAGCCTCAGTGCATGGAAGCCTACTGCCCTGACAGTGCATCCCAACTTCCTGAAAATGTGGATTAGACAGTGAACCCAGAGGCAGCCTCCTTGGCACAGTGTGTGTCAACAGATATTAGCTCTGTCTGTTGCATGTTATTCTGTATATGCTGTTGACATGTCTTCCACCAATTGTTTAAAGGTCAATTAAATATGCATACACCTCAAAGACCAATTGTTGATTCATAATTTTTGGATGAATATTAAACTTGCTGGGTTCTCAACTATGTCTCTTTCTCTTGCTTCTAATTCTGTCATTTCTTCTCTATGTTTTTCAAAATAAGCTCCATTCTTAGTCAAGAAATCTATATAGCTCTAGAAAAGATGCCATTAAAAATGTAAAGGCTGCATTTCCAGATGAGTCTCTTGCTGAGAATTTTGCCATAGTAATAGGTGAAAAGAAGACTTGTTCATTTCCTATTCTGCTTTGTTTCACCTTGATACCTGGGTTTGTAGAGCTTCATTTTATCTTATTTTATTTTATTGTTGTTATTGTTTTCCACGATACAGTTTTGTAAGTGTAGGGATTCATCCCTCCACTGCCTTTTCCTTCCTCCCTTTCAAATCCCCAACTATTTCTCTCTGTATTATTACAATAGTATAGCTCTTCAGAAACAGTCTAAAGTCCAACATTCTGTTATTTAAATGTAGCATGGCATTGTAGGGATCAGCATTGGTAATGATGAAAAATGTAATATCATATTTAACAGTTTCATTGGGAGTTCTCCTTTTATTCTGTAGCAATGATGCACACTGCAACGTATCTTCATTTCTTGATTTGCTAGTTTCTTTTATAGAGTTCACCTATGAGTATATATTTATACACATGTTGCATATATTTTTATGCTGGCATGGATGTGGGGCAAATGGACCCTAATACATTGGTGGTAGGAGTGTAGTGCAGTGCGGTAACTATGCAAGTCTTTATGGAGAGTGCTAAGACAATTGATCTGCTGTATGACCCAGCTATCCCACTCCTGGGAGTAGATCCAAAAGAAGTGAAATCTGCATATGAGAAAGTGGCCTGCAATCCTGTATTTATCACAACACAATCCACAATTGAGAAGACATAGAAACAACCTAGACATCCTTCAAAAGAGGAGCGCATAAAGAAATTGTGGGTCATCTGATTTGTGGAATACTGCACAGCCATTAGAAAAAATGAAATTCTACCATTAGCAACAAGATGATCCCAACTGGAGACCATTACGCTCAGTGACAAATATCATATGTTACTCATTTTACATGCTAAATGCCTTGCCTTTGCCCTTTCAGTATTTTGAAAAATTCATGTTTTATTAAATGCCATTTTTTTTCTAACAAAAATTTACCAGAGTTTGAGAGAAGAGATGCAGAACGACAGATTTCTTCCCTCAGATGGCCCCTCTGGGTGGCCAGATGGCCAGGGCTTGGTCAGGCCAAAGCCAGAATCAAGGATCTTGACTATTGTAAATATCAAAAAGGTTTTATTTAATAATAAAATTTGAAACCCAATTATATATGCTTCCTTAAATAACTGGTGTATTGCTTTATAATTTCTTGCCTTTGTACCTTCCAGGTAATACAATCAAAGCCAAATGAATACAACCAATTACTCAGCAGTATTTGAATTTGTGTTCCTGGGGCTTTCTACCTACAGACCATTGCAGCACTTCCTTCTGGCTTTCTCTGCATTGTTTTATGTCATAATTGTTCTAGGGAATCTCCTGGTTGTGTTTACAGTGACCTTTGATGCTCATTTGCATTCCCCGCTGTACTTCCTTTTGGCAAATCTTTCATTCATTGATATGTGCCTATCTACTGTTACGGTTCCTAAGATGCTTTCTGACCTTTACTCTGGGAACAATACCATTTCATTCCAGGGATGTGTCACACAGATATTTGCCCTGCACGTTCTGGGTGGGTCTGAGATGGTGCTACTGATAGCCATGGCCCTGGACAGATATGTGGCCATATGCAAACCCCTCCACTACCTGACCATCATGAACCCACGGATGTGCACTCTGCTTCTGTCTGGAGCTTGGGTTATTGGTCTCCTTCACTCGGTGGCCCAGTTGGCTTTTGTTGTCCATTTGCCATTTTGTGGTCCTAATGAGATTGATAGCTTTTACTGTGACCTTCCCTGGTTCATCAAACTTGCCTGTGCAGACACGAACAGAATGGAGTTCATAGTGACTGCCAACAGTGGGTTCATTTCCACCGGCACTTTCTTCTTACTGATTATCTCCTATGTCTTCATCCTTGCTACTGTGTGGAAACGCTCCTCAGGTGGTTTGTCCAAGGCCCTCTCAACGCTTTCAGCTCACATCATTGTGGTGGTTTTGTTCTTTGGGCCATGCATTTTTGTTTATGTGTGGCCATTTCCTACAGTGTCAGTGGATAAGTTTCTTGCCATATTGGACTTTATGATTACACCTATCCTGAATCCTGCCATATACACACTGAGGAATAAAGATATGAAGAAGGCAATGAAGAGACTGAGTAATCACGTCCTGAGTTTAAGGAAGATCTCTTGAATATTTCAAAAGAACTCGAGTTTTTTCGTGTGTTCTTTAGACTCTCTAAGTAACACAAATACTGAAATCATTATACAAAATTTGGGTATTACCTGAAAGATACTCAAAGAGTTTGATAAATTTATCATTGTATTGAGTCAAAAATGGAGGTCAGACAATTGCGGATAGGGTTATTTAAATTGAATAATAATATATTTTATGACATCTAATTTCTTGTTTTGGACAATTCTTATGAACTTAGAGATTTTCAAACACAGAAAACACACTTTTTTATGGCTTACATTGCAGTAGACCAAATATATCCTTGGAAGGTTTACAAAGCTCAATTATAATAATGCAGTTACAGGACAATTTACATGTGCTCCAATATTTCTCCTATTATCCATGGGATGATTTTATTACAAATAAATTAGTTTTTATAACATTTATTACTTTGGAATGTAGTATTTATATAGTGCATATGAAGTTACTTTTTATGATTATTGATTTATCTTTCTTTGGAAAATATTTTTATTGTGTCTTAACAAATAATAAGCATTCTTTAATTCAAATATTTAAATTACCCATTTGAAATATTCATAATAGAGGATTATTTATGAGTTTACTCTGTATTATAACATTAACTGTATTAAAGAAATAATTTTGATGCTTATTTATTTTCTTAGAAAATGTTTTAAGAAAGTTCAAGAATAAGCATATCTTTTGTAGACTGAAAGTATGGCTTCAGATATCAGATCACCTGAATTTCAATAGACTGGTTTAGGTAATATTACATAGGTTTTTAAGCACTATAAAATATGAGTATGGTACTTTCATTCAGTTTAAATGCACAATATTTATTACTAAGCTTATCTTTTGTCTGAAAGCTAAAGTATGGGAAGGAAAAAGATTTAAAGCTCAGTGGAAGAAGGAAGAGAGTTAGAGAAATTAAGTAAACCAACGATCATTGAGGAAGTACATTAAATGGGAATCACAATTAGAGCATTTTCAAAGCAACCAAAACACATGAGGTGGAGGGGATTGTGATTCAGGTTAATATTTACTTAATAATTACCTTATTAGTTATCTGTCTAGAGAAATTAACATTCTGGTTAACTACATAAAAATGATCTATTTGTAAAGATAGAGATAGGAATGTGTAATCCATCAGTTTATTGTAATAAAATTGGAAAAGATTCACGTGACATGATGGGATTAAAGAAATGTTCAACATAACAGAAATATCAAAATATGATGGTGGATGTTAAAGTAGCAGAACAGGTAGTAACAGGCATCATCATTGTGTCATTAATTTCAAATCATCCTCTATGGTTATAGTCACAGAGAAAGGAACTCACTTTTCACTTATTGATCAGAAAACTTACGGAACTGAATAGAAGTGTTAAAGACTTTTCATCTGAAGGAACACAAAATTTCCCTTTTTGGACAGGAAAATGCTTCCCAGTCCAGAGTAACAGGTCAGTGTGGCTAAATTATCATTTTCGTAATCTGAGACCCTGAACTACATGTTGAAATTAATATGCCAATACTGCAGTCTCTTCATGGCATTTTTAATTTCTTTGTTTCTTAGAGTGTAAATGGCTGGATTTAGGAGAGGTGTTATAACTGCATAGAATACAGCAAGGAACTTGTCCACCCATGTGATGTTGACTGGCCATAGATAAATGAAGATACAGGGTCCAAAGAATAATACCACCACAGTGATGTGGGCAGTACAGGTGGAGAGAGCCTTGGATGCCCCGTCCTTTGACTGAAGAGTGACAGTAAAAAGAATATGAGAGTAAGAGATCAGGAGCAGAATGAAGCATATGGTTGCCAGTACCCCACTGTCTGCATTTATCAGCATTTCTAGAATATAGGTATCCATGCAGGCCAGCTTGATCACTAATGGGATATCACAGAAAAAGCTATCCAACTCCCTTGGTCCACAGAAGGGAAGCTTAACAATAATAAGTAGTTGGCTTATTGAATGAACAAAGCCAATAACCCATGATGTAATTACTAATCCAATACACATGTGTCTGTTCATGACACTGGTGTAATGGAGAGGCTTGCAAATAGCTACGTAACGATCATATGCCATTGACACGAGCAGTACCATCTCACCCCCTCCAAAGAAGTGTCCAAAGAAAATCTGACACATGCATCCTCCAAAGGAGATTGTCTTGTTTTCCTTGAGAAAGTCTGTGATCATTTTTGGAGTAGTGACTGAGGAAAGACAGAAGTCAATGAATGAGAGATTGGCTAACAGAAAGTACATTGGAGAATGGAGATGAAAGTCAATAATGATTACGATCACGATAAAGATATTTCCTAAAATTGTGGTTAGATAAAGTGAAGAAAATATTAAAAGGAGGAAGGCCTGGAGCTCCCAGGATTCACATAAGCCAAGAATAATGAATTCAGACACCACAGACTGGTTTGCTCGTTCCATTTAGTCCACTTCCAAATTCCTCTGAAGCAAAAGTCTTGGCATCAGATTTTCTGAGAAAAGAGAACAAAATCAACAGGGTTTCTTAGATACTATTAATGAAAGTGACTAGTAGTATAATCACATTGGAAATAAATTTGTCACTTATCTTGTGAATTTTAACGCTGACACATTGTAGGGTCCAGACATTCCAACCTCATTAATATCCCAAGATATATGTAAACACACAGAGGGAGAAATTTGCATTAATTCACATTAACAAAGCCATAAAATGTTACTCTAAAGCAAACAGAAAGTATAGCAATACCAAGCAATGTAGGTGATACAGAAGTGTCTTAGTAAAACATAACAATGAAGAAATGTTCAAATGTTTCATTCAGCTTTGATTGTATTGCTACAGAAAAATTACCTTACATACACTTGTGTAAATGATGAAATGCAAGAGAAAGTGAGAGCTGTTAATAGCATCAAATAACAGGACAATTGTAGTAGGCATGAAGATGAGCACAAAAGCATTTGAGCACACTCTGATTTCAGCTTTCTCTTTGTATGGCATCAACACATTATCACAGATACAATGTGTTATCGAATGAAACAAACACACACAAGGTGAACCTAAAAAAAATGATGAAAGTATTGAGAATGAGGGGTCCTTCTGTACTGTGGACCTGGGATGAAATACCCCTTATTACAAAGACCTTTGCAAAGGAATATATAGTAGGAAAACAGTTCCAATGTCTAAGTTAAAAATATTACGAGTACACATTTGGCACAGCAGTTAAGATACTGCCTTGAACACTCATATATCTCATATTGGAGTGTCCTGATATGAATTGCAGCTTTGCTTTGGATTCAAGCCTACTATTAAAGCACACTCTGCAGGCAGCAGGTGACTGCTCAAATGACTGAATTCCTGCCTACCACATGAGAGACCCAGTTTGAGTTCTTGGTTCTTGGATTTGGGCTGACCTAGCCCTCTCTGTGGCAGGAAGTTAGTGAGTGAAGCAATGAATGGGGAATTTCTGTCTCTTTTTACCTTTGAAATAAGTGAAAATAAATTTTAGAATCTATTAGAAGATATTTACTACATTGTTGAAGATCAGTAATATTAATGAATTCATAACTATCTAATGAATGAAAACAAAGGTGATATCACAAGTCTTGATGAAAATGGTAAAAGTTATTTTGACCATGAACATAGTTAACTAACTGCAACCAGATAAACCAGTTAAGAAGAAGGTAACTAATCATCTTTAAAAGAATACATGTCAGGGCTGCTGCAGTGGCTAAACAGGCTAATCCTCTTCCTTCATCGCACTGGTATCTCATTTGGGCTTTGTTTCTAGTCCTAGCTGATCTACTTACAATACAGCTCTCTGCTTATGGCCTTAGAAATCATGAGGATGACTGAAGTACTGGGGTCTCTGTACCCAACTGAGATACCCAGAAAAGGCTCCTGGCTCCTGGCTTCTCATCAGCTTAGCTCAAAAAAAGAATAAATGTGAGGCCTGGCATGATAGCCTAGCAGCTGAGGTTCTTGCCTTGAAAGTGCTGGAATCCCATATGGGCACTGGTTCTATTCTGGTGGTCCTGCTTCCCATCCAGTTCCCTGCTTGTGGCCTGGGAAAGCAGTCCAGGACAGCCCAAAGCCTTTGAATTCTGCAGCCATGTGGAAGACCGAGAAGAGGCTCCTGGCTTCAGATCGGGTGTGTCTGGCTGCTGTGGTCACTTGGGGAGTGAATCATCAGACAGAAGATCTTTCTCCCTATCTCTCCTCCTCTCTGTATATCTGCCTTTCCAACAACAATAAATAAATCTTTAAAAAAGGAATAAATACCATGTGTTTGTTAAATTTTCATGAACACTAAGAGATATTCTCTGATCATGAAACTTAAATCTTATAAAACTTGTGTGAATTTATTCTAAGTCCAAGGCATAGCACAATCACAAGTGAATCCTGGTATTCCTGAGTATAGATACATTAAGGAATTTGCTCACTTTACTGTATTTGAAAGCTCATTTTTCTAGAGGTGATCCAGGACTGTTGAATACACAATCTGGTACTGAATTGCAACTAAAACATAAGATGACTTTTGAGAAACTAAAATCTAAAAAACTCTGCATGGATTAACATGAACTGAAGTCTGTGGCAAAAACTGGGGGAAGAACTGTGAATTGAGATATTTGAAAAAAAGAGTTTCGTGCTGGAAATGAGAAAACCCTTGCTACATCTGACTCTAGCTACATGTTTGCAGAATTAGATAATTGTAGCATCTCCATAGGGAATCATTTGTGCTTATCTTTCCTGTCTTTGATATGGCAAAGAACACATGATCAATGGCAGAGAAGAATTCTTTTCCAATGTTGGGGTAAATGACAGATACGAACTAGTGATTCTTTAGATGCAAGTTACAGCAGCTGTCTCTAATCCACTCCTATTTGTGATTCAACCTAGCTCCTTTAAAGACCTAACTCTGTCACACTGGATAATACATATATGCTCTGCTTGCTTCATTTGCTTTCTTTATTTCAATTTGTATACCTACTCCCTCCTACCCATCTTTCTCCTGTGTCTTCCCTTCCCCTTCTTCCCTTTCCTTCTCCTTAGCCCCTTTGTCCTCTGTTTCTCCCTCTACAACCTGTTCTCAAAGCCTTTGTCACATGATATCACTTATTGCTACTTCCTGATTACTCTTTACAGATATTCATATCTCTTCATCATAGCTAAGAATCAACAAAAATATTTTTGTATTTTTCATTTTTCTATATACTTTAATCAATTTTTATAATTATAATATCAATTAGTTTAATTTTACAACTGAAGAAGACAATTTGGTGAAAGGTATAAGTCCAACATAGCAGTTAATCACACATCTACTAGAATCAGGGTCCAGACCAATGTTGTTCAGACCAATGTTGTTAGTTTGATTGAGAATAGATGTGATTTCCACAAATAATTAAAAAATAGTAAAGCCTTCACTATGAATATATGGTCTAGGAAAAAGTAATTGATAAAAGAAAAAAGTACAAATGACCAAACAGGTGTATAAAAATATACTTGTATCTACAATAATACTATTGCTTTGGTGATAATGGCTCCCATTTTCCCACTTACATAGTTTATGTTTCATTGTTGTATATTGCAGAAATTGTTATTGATATACAGAAGTGTGGTCAGATACCAGGGATGGAAATAAAAACAAAATTAGTATGTATTAGATATAGTAGGGGGCTTTATTTCCTTTTAGTCAAATCAACAGGAGTTTATTGAACATTTTTTTCCTGCGTTCATTATTCTCTACTGGGAAGTTCAGATGAAAATTTGATAGATTCTGAATGTTGTACATTATACCAGAGTAACAAAATCCTATCCCTGTCTTCTCATCTTTTTACTTTGTTTAAAGTTATATTACTTTAGTTTAATTACAGAAGAAAGATTATTACTACCATAGCAATCCACATGCATAGCAATATTCATAATATAGTTATAATTAATTTTAAGGATGCCTGAAGTGTGAGAGATAGACATTCAGATTCCAAGAGTATGTGTAAAAGCCAGATGGCTTAACGCCACATTTGCGAGCATGAGGAGGTTCATTATTCATCTTCATCTTCAGTTTTCTGGTTTATTGTTTGTTGGATATTTTAATTCATGTACAGTTCAACAAGTATATTTTGGATCTGTGATTCTAACTCAGCACTGTGTTATGCTTTGCGGGGTAACAGAAATGACATATAAGATTTTATATGCCAATAATTTTTTTAAAATAAAAAATCTCTCTGGAAGTAGCAAAAATAAAAAAGAAATACTGACTGAAGCAAATAACAATTTAGGAAAATTAATATGAAAAAGAGACCATGCTTATGTTTAGTTTTTGAACTGCTGATTTTAAGATCCTTTGAAAACCAGTCTCTGCAGTTTTGTCTTTCTGGTTATCTTCCACACACCAGAAATGTTCACTTGCATTCTGTAGTCTTCTTTAGAACCCTGTGAAGTGGTCTTACTGTGAGTTGGACTCTCAGGGTAGCCAGTCAGCAGTGGCAGAGCTGAGACGTAGCATGATTATTGCTAGAATACATCCCAATATTCTTTTCTCCAGTATTCCTCCCTCTCTGATGTTAGCCTGCGTTGCTTACAGTTCAGTTTCAAGAGCACAGTTTCATTTCCATGTAAGCACTAAGAGTTAAAGCCTTTGAGAGCTTATGCTCTGTATTTTCTATCTAGTTTCTTCTTGCTCTTATCAACAATCAACTTTCTCTTATTGGGAAATTTCTGTTCATTACAGTTACATGTTAGTATTCAAAATAGTCCCTTCATGTAAAAACACCAATCGCTGAATCCATGAGAGCAATTCTTCCTGAACTATGTCATCTAAGAATGTGCAAGACCATAAAGAAAGCATTCCTTTGATGCTTATGAAGCCCCAAAGCTCCATGATGTAGCTAGTAGGAAAAAGACCCTTGATATTCATGAGAAGTGGAGAGTACTTCACAATGATGCCAATGAGTGTGTGTGGAAACAGCATCACCACATTTTTGAAATTGTCTTAAATATTATAGGTGAAGGAAAATAAGAAACAAGAATTCTAAATAGACTGCATCTTACCAGAGAGACATTGTACTGAGTAGAGATTTTTCATGGATAAAGCATTGTCCACATTCTAACTAGAGTCTGAAATGAAACTCATTGCTATCAAAGTTATCAGAACCAGATAATAATACTTTTCCTGCTGTGGCTGTTGTTCATTGGAGCATGAGGCGTGGGTCCATCTGGAGAATGATTCCACAGGCAGGAACTGTTCAAGCTTCTTTTATTATGTTCCTCTGGGACTTTGTAGTTTTCAGTGTTTCTCTGGAATGAGAATATCACCCAAGAGTGTGTCTTGCCATAGTCACAGAGAAGTGGGGTGAATAAAATTATGAAGTTTCTGATGGTGAAAATTAAGCACAGTTTGAGAACAAGCATCTCTTTCAGAATTTTAAAAAAGGAAAATCTGGTTCTG